AATATCAATAATACAGGATTTGAACAACACTATAAACCAAGTATGGGGGCATTAGTGGTTCAGTGGTAGAATTCTCGCCTTTCCCATGGGAGTGTCTTGAGATAATCTCTTTTGAAATATAAAGGAGATTAAAAAAGCAATAGAATAAGCAGAGATAGGGGAAGAGAGATGCCAAGCTACATGAAAATAACCCAGAAGCAGAAGATCAAAAGAGACGACCTTCTTCCAGAGCCAAAAGAGACAGAAAGCCTTCCCCTAGAGTCAGCATCCTGAATTCAGACTTCTAGCCTCCTAAACTGTGAGAAAATAAATTTGTTTGTTAAAGTCATTCACTTGTGGTATTTCTGTTATAGCAGCACTCGATAACTAAGACAAACAGGTTTTGACTTAAAATCACCTCAGTTCTCTTTTGGCTACTATTTGCATGGAATATTTTTTTCCATCCTTTCACTTTCAATTTATTTGTATCTTTGGCTCTAAGACGTATCTCTTCTAGACAGCATACAGAGGGATCATGTTTTTAATTCATTCTGTGACTCTCTGCCTTTAGATTGGAGAATTTAATCCATTTACATTTAAGGTAACTACAAAAAGGAAGGACTTATTTCTGCCATTTTGCTATTTGTTTTTTGTGCGTCAAATCTTTTTTGTCCATCATTTCATCCAGTGCTGCCATCATTTGTGTTTAGTTGCTTTTTCGTACTGAACCATTTTGATAACTTTCTGTTTGTCTTTTATATATGTTTTTAATACATTTTCTTTATGGTTACTGTGATGGTTAAGATTGTGTGTCGTCTTGGCTGGGCCACGATTCTCAGTGTTTATATGTAATCATCCCCATCATGGGATCTGCTGTGAGTAGCCAATCAGTTGAAAGGAAGTTTCCTTGGGCACGTGGCCTGCATCCAAATATAAGCGGACATTCTGGCTTTTGCCTGCTCTGGATCCTGCAGCTGCCTCCTGTTCACCTGACCTCCAGTTCTTGGGACCTGAGCTAGCAGCTTACCTGCTGATCTTGGGTTTGCCAGCCCCTGCAGCTAAGTGAATCCACAGAAGCCTTGTGGTCTTGCCTGCCAATCTTGGGATTCGTCGATCTTCACAGCCTGTGAACAAGGGCCCTGCTCTCCAACCTGCCAATCTTGGTTCACCAGCCCCTGCAGCTATGTGAATCAGGAGAAGCCTCTATCCTGATCCATGGACTTGGAGCGTTCCAGCCTCTACAATCACGTGAGCCATTTCCTTGATATAAATCTCTATATATACATATTTATACGCTTTCCTGGTTTTGCTTCTCTAGAGAACCCAGCCTAAGACAGTTACCATGAGAATTACATTTAACATCTTAAATTTAAAATGGCCTAGTTTAAACTGATACCAACTTAACTTCAGTAACATAATAACTCTATTCCTATACCACTCCTCTCCCTGCCTTTATGTAGTTATCATAAATTACATCTTTATACATTATGTGCCCAAGATCATAAACTTATATTTTATTATGTCTTTTGGAATCATACAGGAAATAACTACCAAAGTTACAAGCCAAATATACCATAAAACTGTCCTTATATTTTCCCATCAGATTACCTTTATCAGAGATCTTTCCTTTCTACATGTCTTCAAGTTATTGTCTACTGTCCTTTTAGTTCTATCTGAAGAACTCCCTTTAGAATTTCTTGTAGAGCGGATCTAGGCATCACTCACTCCCTCAGCTTTTGTTTATCTTGGAATGTCTTAATTTGTCTTTCATTCTTGAACAATAGTTTGCCAGATATAGATTTCTTGGTTGACAGTTTTTTTTATTTCAGCACTTTAAGTATGTCATCCCACTGCATTCTGGCCTCCAAGGTTTCTGAGGAGAAATTGGCCTTAGTCTTAATGAGGATCCCTTGTACGTGACAATTTGTTTCTCTTGCTTCTTTTAGGATTCTCTCTTTATCTTTGGTTTTTGAGTGTTTGATCATATTGTGTCTCAGTGTGAATCTCTTTAGGTTTACCCTACTTGGAGTTTGTTGAACATCTTGGTTTTGTAGATTCATGTCCTCCACCAAATTTGGAAATTTTCTGCCATTACCTTATTTTTACACAAATAATGCGTGCCTTCTGTATTTGTTTGCCAACCACGCCCTCACCCCCACAAGGTATTTTTGTAAGCATCGCTATGCCAATTTTTTTACATGTTGCTGTAAAAAAAATTAGCATAGAGCATGCTTTGGATTGAATTGTGTCCCCCAAAAATATGTGTCAACTTGGCTAGCCCATGATTCTCAGTAGCGTGATTGTCCACCATTTTGTCATCTGATGTGATTTCCTATGTGTTGTAAATCCTACCTCTACGATGTTAAACAGGTAGGATTAGAGGCAGTTATGTTAATGAGGCAGGACTGAATCTACAAATTAGGTTGTGTTTTATGTCAATCTCTTGAGATATAAAACAAAGAAGCAAGCAGAGAGACATGATACCTCATACCACCAAGAAAGTAGTACCAGCAGCAGAGCACATCCTTTGGACCTGGGCTCCCTGTACTGAGAAGCTCCTAGACCAGGTGAAGATGGATAACAAGGACTTTCCTCCAGAGCTGACAGAGACAGAAAGCCTTCCTCTGGAGCTGACACCCTGAATTTGGACTTCTAGCCTCCTAAACTGTGAGAAAATAAACTTCTGTTTGTTGAAGTCATCCACTTGTGGTATTTCTGTTGTAGCAGCACTAGATAACTAAGACAGCATGCTTACAAAAATACCTTGTGTGGGGAGGGCGCAGCTGGCAACAAATGTAGAAGGCGTGCATTATTTGCATTAAAATACAGTATTTCTTCAAACATTCTGTTTCTTTCTCTCACTTTTCTCTTTCTGGGATTCCCATGATGATGGCCCACAATTCCATTAGGCTTTGCTCAGATTTCTTGGTCCTTTTTTCTTTTTGCTCTTCAGATTCAATACTTCTGATTGTTCTGTCCTCTAGTTCACTGATTCTTTCTCTTGTCAGTTCAAATCTGCTATTAAGTCCTTCCATTGATTTTTTTTTTCATTTCAGTTATTGTATCTTTCAGCTCCAGTAATTCTGTTCAGTTTCTTTTTATAATGTCTCTTTAATTGTATCCTTGTTTTGTTCATATATTGCTTTCCTGATATCCTTTAGTTTTTTTGTCCATGTTTTCCTTTAGTTCTTTGAGCATGTATAATACTGTTGTCTTAAAGTCTTCTAGTCTGCTCATTTTCCAGGCTTCCATAGAGATAATTTCTCTCCCTTTGTCTTGTTCTTTTGAATAAGTCATCATTTCTCGTTTCTTTGTATGCCTTGCGATTTTCTGTGAAACTAGGATGTTAAAATATTACAATGTGTTAGCACTGAGCATGTGTGTGGCATTCTCCATTCTCCCATATACACAGTTGTCATGTATTGAACTGTGTCCCCCAAAAATATCTGTCAACTTGGCTGGGTCATGATTCCAAGTATTGTATGATTGTGTACCATTTTGTAATCTGATATGATTTCCTTATGTGTTGTAAACTCTGTCACCAAGATGTAATAAGATGGATTAGTGGCAGTTATATTGACGAGGTCTACAAGATTAGATAGTGTCTTAAGCCAACCTCTTTTGAGATATAAAAGAGAGAAGCGAACAGAGAGACATGGGGACCTCATACCACCAAGAAAGCAGTGCCAGAAGCAGAGCACGTCCTTTGGACCTGAGGTTCCTGTGCAGAGAAGGTCCCAGACTAAGGGAAGATTGATGACATGGACCTTCCTCCAGAGCCGACAGAGAAAGCATTCCCTTCGAGCTGACACCCTGAATTTGGACTTGTAGTCTAGTGGACTGTGAGACAATAAACTTCTCTTTGTTAAAACCATCCACTTACAGTATTTCTGTTATAGCAGCACTAGATACTAAGACAACGGTGCTTTCAGAAGCATTAATTTTTGCAAGAAACTCTCAAGCAGTCACAGCCTTAAGTCTTTGTTTACTGCCTCCTTCCCCACGCTTTATGAGCTCTGATTCTGGCCCAACCAAGGCTACAGTCCTTCAGACAGCTCCCAGATAGATCATAACATACACTGAACAGTCCTCCAGCAAAGTCTGCCCTAATCCCTCCAGAGCCAGAGATCAGAGCCCCTGCTTTGAGAATGCAAGCTGTGGTTTGCCTCTGCTGCAGACACCTAGCTGCTGCGCTAGGAGGCTGAAGCAAGGACAGCAGAAAAATAAGTTTTCCTACTTTTTAAAAGTCACCTTTTTCTTGCTTCAGTATGCAGTTACAGCAATCCTCCACCTACTTTTCAGAGTTCAGATTACAGATTTCTAGCTGCTTTTCTTGGTGCTTATGTGGGAGAGTCAACATCTTAGACTTGCTTACACTGCCATCTTCCCAGAGGTGCTGCTGGAGAAGTTTTGAGCCTCAGATGCAGTTAACACAGCTGCCCACCCTTTATCCTAAGACAAAGTCCATTCCTATCACATCTTCTGTAAGGCTAAGGTGTGGACCTCTAGAAACTGGCAAAGAGCAAATACAAATCCAGTTTTATTGGTTAAAAGAAATGGCAAACTTGACTGGGAATTCTCACTACCCAGCAACACCAATCTGGCCAGAGAGAAGGGTAAGGTAAAAAAAAAAAAAAAAAAAAGAAAGGATAACAAATGTTGATGAAGAGGAGGGTAAGAGAAGGGGAGGAGGTGGGGAGAGA